CCCCTCCTAAAAAAAATGGAAAGGAAAAAAAAATGAAGTGAGTGAAATCTATTCAAGAAATTGACGAAGAAATAAGAAATTCATACTACCATCGATCTAATGCAGGCTGGTCAAACAAAAGAATTGCAACTTCCCACGCAAAAAGTAAATACAAACATATGATGCCAGGGTTTGAAGATAAGCGCAAAATATTTTTAAATGTTTGAAAAATGTGATCTACCCTGTAATTGACCGGTATTATATTAAAAGTTAATAAGAAGCATCATTTTACATTTGGGTGAGCTACAAATCGAATCCTTCACAGAAATTTACTCGGGGCCATTAGTCACCCAGTACTGATAATAAACAGTAAACTTCAAGATTCAAACATCTTAAAACAGATCTGAATAATTGCGAAAGAGAGAAGCCGGCTACAATTAGGGAATTTTTCTGAAAGGATCAAGAGTGTGGATTACCTTGTGATCGGACTCGGAGGCGAGCGCCGGAGAGAAGAGAAGGCGAACGGCGGCGAGAAGTAGAGACAATAAGGCTGCAGGCCTCATCTCATTGCGCGTGTGGATCAACGTCTATGATGCGAATGTAAAGGTGGAATTCAGGTCGTGAGGATCGCTCAAGGTTGGGGATTATATGTAAGATTTGCTTGTATTTGGTCCTCCTCAGGACTCTGTTACGTTGCGGCACGTTTGGCCAATCTTAGAAGGTTCACTTATAAGCGAATAAGTAGGTAAGTACGTTTTTATTTGTCAACTTTTACAAGCACCAGTTCGTGCTTATTATAAATGTACAGGTAGCATGATGTTTATAAATTTCAATTCAAACTGGCCTAACACTATATGTAGCTTTATCCAATTTATAAATAAGTGGTTTTCAACTGCTCATTTAACTCTCGTTCGTTTCTCATTTTTCAATCCAATTTATAAATAAGTAGTTTTCAACTGCTCATTTAGTCCCAGTTTGTTTCTCATTTTCATCCATAAAAATGAAAGATATGACTGTTATCAATCGCACCAAACTATCAATTTTGAATTTATATATCTTATATAGTGCCCAATAAAAACAATATTTTTTATTCTCATTCTACAATATTGAGAATCAAATGGGTCATTAAATAGATTCAAAAGTATTATCTACTTAGCCCTTGTTTTACATCCATTTTTTTTATTCTCTTTCTTATTTTTTTCTCTTTCTTCATTTCAACCACACATTCTATCAATAAAATAATATTAACACATAAATCCAAAAAATTTCCTTACTTTTTAATCGCACATTATTCCATCAATCACTCTTCCAAATCAAATTTTTCTACAAAATGGATGTCAAACAAAGGCTTATTCATCATTTAAATATATCTCGATTTATAAATTAAATCATTTATAAATTCTTCATGAGTATTATCTACTTACAAAAAAGCTATTTGTACAATTAATTAGTAGGTCGCACACTAATGTGAGTGTGTTGTAAGTGTTGCCAACCACTGATCATTGTGCACATAGCGTTGTTCTATCTACTTATTCACCAATCAAATCTATCTCGATTTATAATTAAAATAATCTATAGATTCTTTTCAAACAACATTAATAATGTAAATTTTCAAAGAAAACTCAAAACGAAAAATTTGTCGTCTTGGTGTTTTTAGTTATAACCAAGCTAAATTTTTCAAAACATGTTTTGGGTTTTTTGGTTAAGCCACCAACAACCATCGTTATTGCCGCCTGCACACACCATCCGCATCACAGCTGGCAACATCACAGCCACCACAGCAGAAGAAGTCGGCGACGCCACTACCTAAAACCACCACAGCAGAAGAAGCCCACCACGCCACCACCCAAAACCATCACAGTAGAAGAAGCTGACGACGCCACCTCCCAAAAATACCGCACCGGAAGAAGTCTACTACCCCACCGCACCAGAAGAAGCCCATCCTACCAGAAAAAGTCCACCACGCCAACGAGCCCAAAAACACCGCACGTCGTACACCACCCAAAACCTTTGGTGTTTTTAGTTATAAACAAACCAAAATTTTCAAAACGCGTTTTGGGTGTTTTTGGTTAAACCACCAACAACCATCGCCATTGTCGCTTGCACACACCATCTGCATCACACCGTCACCATCGCACCGCTACACCACAACTGGCGATGTCACAGCCACCACAGTAGAAGAAGTCAGCGACGCCACTACCTAAAACCACCACAGGAGAAGAAGCCCATCACGCCACCGCCCAAAACCATCACAGCAGAAGAAGTCGACGACGCCACCTCCCAAAAATACCGCACAGGAAGAAGCCTACCACTCCACCGCACCAGAAGAAGCCCACCATCGCCCAAAACCACATCACCAGAAGAAGCCCACCACGCCACTGAGCCCAAAAACACCGCACGTCGTACACCACCTAAAAACAGAGAGACACGACAGAGAGAGAGAGGAACAAGAGAGAGAGGGGAACAAGAGAGTGGGAAGAAGAGGAATGACAAGTTTTGGGTGTTTTCATTTTTGAAAATAGTTTTTCAAAATGACAAAAAGAACACATTTTTAACAATCTTAAAATGAACACTCAAAGTAGAAAACTCAAAATGAATTCAAAACTCAAAACAGAAATACGAAGAGAACGGCCCTTTAGATTTGCAGATGAGGTCTCGAATTTTCGAAAAATATACTGCCATGTTACATACCTTCTAACTTTAGCACATAAATCTCTAACATTTTACCCCCCGTTCGGTGGCCATTATTTGGCAAAATTAATGTTTTGTATAGTAAATTTTTAAATAATGTGTGGTTAAAAAGTTTTTTTTTAAAAACTTGAATTTATGCAAAATATTTTATTTTGTGAATGTATAGTTAAAAATGAATATATAGAATAGATAATTTTAAAATAATGACCATCATATGCATAGAACTTGGTGACATATTCCATCCATATGAAATATGTTCTAGGGCGGACACAGAAGTGGCATGAGGGGTTACATGACCATCGACTATGGTGTCAATATTTTTTTTTTTGCCACCATTAAATTTTATATGTTTTTGTCTCAAATTTCGATAGCATTTTGGGATGTCAAACGAAGTTGAAATGTTGCACTCTTAATACTATTTCAAAATGCTCACTGCCTAATTTTATACTTGTTAATGGAGCGCGAAACGGTCAAACGTAGCAAATGTTATAGGTTGTCAGAAAATGTCATTTCAAATTAGTGTTTCGATAACATGTTAACTTAAAAAAAAATTTGACGATAGTACACTAGCCGAATACACAAATTGCCTATGTCATCTCGAAACTCGTTTCGATAACTACATCATAGGCATATCGAATGGTCCAAACAGATATCGAAAATAGTTAAAAGTGTGTTTTAAAAAAAGTCGTCTAACTTGTTTTTCCTTTAAAAAATTTCAATTATTTCATTAATATTTATTATTTTTTCGATATAAATTTCTCAATATAATTTATATCATTTTATTATGAAATTTTGCATGAGAAATGTCATCAAAAAAATTTCGGAATTATACATCCGAAAAAGTCAAATTTACATGGGGTATATATTTTTTTATGTAAATTTTCGAATATAAAATTATTCGCAATTTTTGTACAAATTTGATTTTGTCCCTAACACAAAATATCTACATCCGCCCTGCATTTGTTGACCAAAACTTCGTCAATTACCTTCATTTGATCAAGTTAATGGATTTCGAAATGGTTTCTCCTCATACCCGCTTGAAACAGTTAAAAGGGAAAAACAAAACAAAAAAATAGAAAAGATGTAGAAAAGAAAAGACAAAAAAATTTGAAAAATGAAAGGTCTTATCCCCAATCCCACAAAGCCAAATTGTCACCATCACCACCGAGTTATGCTACATGTACAAAGTTGGTTGACAAAATAACATCTATACCATTAATTTTAAAACATATTTTTAAATCATTTGAAATCAACGGTCTGAATTTTGACAACACACTTTGCAATCCAACTTTTATAACTCAACTTTGTACAAATAGCTTTATTGGTCGCCACCACCATAAAACTGTAACAACTTGACCCCACAACATCGCAAGTATTACGAGCATGTTACACGCATAACATGATAGGCTCGTGTTACACTAGTATGATACTATGTTATGTTCCACATCAATCGCATGCTTTCAATACGACTCACAATTATCAGACTATCACAACATGCTTCCATCATAAGCCGACACCTACAAAATTCCAATACATTCCACTGATACCGCCACGCTTAGAATGAAGCTTTTATAACACAATCATCGTCTACATCCATCATAAACCACCACTACTGCCATCAACATCGATATGTCTCACCACCCTTGCCATCATCGCGGCACTCTAAAAAATTGTCTTAAAACCTGTCTTATTACCAACACACCATCACAGTCGTCAATTTTTACATTTGTTCAGTTTGTACTCTTGTTCATTTTTCCTACATGTATACAAGGCGACAACTTCCTCAACATTTCTTTATTGATGCATAACAATGGAATTTAAGATCAAAACGAACCGTACAATTTAAGCTTGTAAATACATTATTTCCAAAATAGATAAGAAAATAATAATAATAATAATTATTATTATTATTATTAGTTCCCAAACAAAAAATAGAAGCCGACTAGTAAATAATTTTTTTGAAGGGTAAATTGAACTGATATATAATATATTTGAGTAAAATATGTATTTTTAAAAAAATCGGGTGAAATGTCCAATTTAGTTACAACTGATTTTTGACTATCGAAATCTATCGAACAATTTCCAAATGGCTTGATCGGTTAGGAGTCGAAACATCAATGGATCTATATGGAACTAGGGGTGGATATCCAGTGGTCCGTCTTGGGTATTTCAAAACCTAAACCACCTATGAGTGAACACAGTTCGATTTGGACGATTTGTGATAAATTTTCAAACCAAACCATTTTGAGCTGTTTGAATTATTTTTTTCAAATCAAATCAAACTACTTCAATTTTTAAACCAAGCCAATCCACATCATTTTTTTGGGGTTTAAAACTACGGTTTAACAAAGAAAAAACATATATCGAATAAGTTAAATCATAAATATTAGTTTAAAATTTCACATTAAAACATAAATAGTATCATTAAAAAATATTATAAACCAAAGTTCTATATTTTAATCATTATAATGTAACAATTTGATATAAATATTCTAACATTTTAGTCAATACTAATTGGCCAAACATCTGCAATTGTAGCCCATGCTTCATTCTCTCCATAATTATAAAAGTATAGTACATGAATTCATTGATCATAGTTAAATGATATAAAATAACAAATAGAAAGATCAAATGTGATAGCACCTTCTATAACTTTACGTGAATCATCCAATAATTCTACATCATCTAAATATTGACGAATCATCATAGGTTCTTTGTTACTATGCAACCAAATTTTAAGGCAAATCATTCTCTCAACCATATTTACACTCTACGAATTCCTAAAGTAATCAAGAATTCTACAATTAAAAGGAAATGTAAACTCGGAAATAATTGTGGATGTTTGAACAGTTAACACATCTTTAGCAATTTGGAGGACAATCTTTTATTTATTTGTATTCAATTTCCACCAAAGTAATATGTCGAAAGACTCATTGGTCAAATTTTCAAAACGGCTATTCATATAATCGACTAGATCATTATAGCAATTAACAGTAGAACCTAGAAACTAAGTTAAAATGTAAATAATTAATTGATTAACCTGACCAAAAAATTGAGATGCAAATAAAAAAAATGTTGTATGTTGAAAATTTAAGAGAGTAGGGCGCAAATTAGAACAAAATAACACAACACAACTACCAATAAAATATAGTAAACAATTACCAAAAAAAGAAGAAATTTGGATAATTTGACCTAGATATCTCTAGCCGAAATTCAAGAGATTATTAGAAGAAAAATAAATGTATGAGTTTGAATTAAAATCTAGATTTAATTGTCTAATCAGTTGTAATGGGCAATCGATGAGTATGATTTAACAGCAATTGTTCAATACTTCACCAAATTTGAGTGTTTTGCGATAAATGTGTTTTTGTACACTTATTTAATACATAAATATGCTTATTATTGACGAAAATAGCTGATATCAACTCACAATTGAGTAATTTTGATTTTTATAGGTCATAAACCCCAAATAGAAAGAGATCAAGGCAAAAAGGAGGAAAAATGGACTAAAAGTGTACGAAATTGTGAAGTTGGGAACTAAAGTGTAGACATTGTAAAGTCGAAGACCTTGGAGTGCAATTTATGGAGGGAGTAACTGAAAGAAAATTTAAAATTTGAGGATCAAACTGTACAAGATTAAAATCGAGGAACCTTGAGTCCAAATTATTAGAGAACTTACGTGCAAAAAGAAAAAAGAAGAAAAAATAAGAAGAAAAGAAAACGGGAATCATTTGGCAGCNCAAATTTGAGTGTTTTGCGATAAATGTGTTTTTGTACACTTATTTAATACATAAATATGCTTATTATTGACGAAAATAGCTGATATCAACTCACAATTGAGTAATTTTGATTTTTATAGGTCATAAACCCCAAATAGAAAGAGATCAAGGCAAAAAGGAGGAAAAATGGACTAAAAGTGTACGAAATTGTGAAGTTGGGAACTAAAGTGTAGACATTGTAAAGTCGAAGACCTTGGAGTGCAATTTATGGAGGGAGTAACTGAAAGAAAATTTAAAATTTGAGGATCAAACTATACAAGATTAAAATCGAGGAAACTTGAGTACAAATTATTAGAGAACTTGTGTGCAAAAAGAAAAAGAAGAAAAAATAAGAAGAAAAGAAAACGGGAATCATTTGGCAGCGCGTATGCGCCACTTTAAACCTGGGGAACCTTTTTAATTTATTTCCAAAATTTGGGGACTTGGCTGCAAATTTTTCTAGTTTTTTAAATTAAGGGTGTGTTTGAGTCACATTATTTTAGAAAAATGTATTTTGGAATAGTAGATCGATGTAGAATGTGTGGTTGAAAGAGAATAAAAAGTTATTGATGTAATGAAAAATATTATTTTATTGAAGAATGTGTAGTTGAAAATCGGTAGAAGAATAAGAATGAAAATTTCAATATAACTCAAACATGGGCTAACCGGCAGCTACATTAGGAATTAGTCTTCTTTCTTTTTTTCTCCCTTCTTCATTTTCGTTACTTTCTTCTTTCTTTTTTTCTTTTTTTCTTTCTCTTCTTTTGATTATTCATGGTATTTTGGGGAAAACCATAGACCACACAAAGCAGAATACATCAAGGAAGATGGAGAAATATTTAGGGAAAGTAGAGACTAAACTCAAATCTTTGTAGGATATTCTCATGAATGAATAATAACTCAACCAAATTAACAAGATAGTTTGTGACAAATTATGATATACAGGGTGTGTTTGAGCCACATTATTTTGGAAGAATGTATTTTGGAATAGTAGATCGATGGAGAATGTGTGGTTGAAAGAGAATAAAAAGTTATTAATGTAATGAAAAATATTATTTTATTGAAGAATGTGTAGTTGAAAATCAGTAGAAGAATGAAAATAAAAATTTCAATATAGCTCAAACATGGGCTAACCGGCAGCTACATTAGGAATTAGTCTTCTTTCTTTTTTTCTCCCTTCTTCATTTTCGTTACTTTCTTCTTTCTTTTTTTCTCTCTTCTTTTGATTATTCATGGTATTTTGGGGAAAACCATAGAGCACACAAAGCAGAATACATCAAGGAAGATGGAGAAATATTCAGGGAAAGTAGAGACTAAACTCAAACAAAGGATTTTATCTATAACCTTGTCTTTTCTCAAATGTTTTGCCATATTTGTAATGTATTGCCATAAATATTCTCCTTTGTATCATATATATAACATGGGCTAAATATTTTTGTTGTGGTTTATGGTTAAATGTGACCTAGCTTTAATTAATCTTAATATTTATGTAGTGGATAAAGATACACCCCTAATTTTAGGTGACCCTTTGAGCTATTATCACAAAAATTTAATATGGTTGTTTGATTTTAATTTACATAGATATATAATAGATTAAATTAATCAATTAGAGTTAATTTAGCTCGAAAGAGGTAATTAAATTCAACACTTCACCCAATTTGAGTGTTTTACATTCACAGTTATGATTATTGATGAATATTTGGGTATGATTTAATTAATTAATTGTGATAGATAATTGTCTATTTATGTATTGAGTTTGATTGAGTTATATTTAATATGAATGCATCTTTCTAACTCATGTTTAGTTTTAATTGGGTTGGATACAATTTAAATTCATTTTTTTTCATTTTTTTTTTGTAAACGGTTTGAAATGGTTTGCAGAGATAGAAACATATACCAAACCATTTCAAAACCGTCTTGATTCAGTTCAAAATAAAAACGTTGATGGATCCACGTGGCCCTAAACCAACAATTAAAAAAAAAAAACACTATTTCAGGTCGATTTTGCAAATTGACGATTTTGTTGTTGAGTCCTAAAACCACCTATCAAACATCATGTATTTAATAAATAGTATAGTTCCATGTAATTTTGGAATCGAGCAAGAACTGATGCTTACGATTCGGGAGGCATTGAGAGGTTCGATTTTGATTAAATTTCTCACTCGCACATGAAACCAAATCAACGATTTCAGAACTAAGATCCGAATTTGATTAAATGGATTGCCAATTTTTCATTCATATGTAACTCTGGCAAAGTTTCAATGTTACAACATAATCGCTGAAAGTTGAACAGAAATGAAAATCTAAGTCATGCACCACAAATATTCATTTGATGGTAGAAAGACACGTCGTGAGTCCGTTTGGACACCCCTATTTGTATAACTATCTCCCACTATTAACCCATGAACAAATCCAAAAATAAAATCTTGAATGTACAATATCGATGGTGTAGGAGCTCATCTTGGCAAAATCGTTGCTTGAAAGAAAGAAATATTGGATAAATTTTTTTGTGCGCGGTAAAAGAAGATAAATTGATGGGTCCGATCTGTGTAGTGTTGGTGGTGATCGATGACCATTCGTGATGTGCATGGCCAATGTCCGTGTATGAAGATTTGGGAAAAATTGAAAATTTGGTTTCCTCTCTCCATAACTTTCAATCAATGGACTCTATGGTCTGAACACATTTACCTTAGTTTCGAAATATTTTTTTCATGCAAGTTTTTTTTTCTCTACTATTGATATATGGAAAATAGGCCCTACACAAAAGTAATTTTCTCAAATAAAAAAAGAAAAAGTAAAGTAAACCTTACTTTCGTGGTCTATATCAAGTTTCAACCCCTAAAATACGGTAGACATCACGACTCATAAGTCACGAACTATTTTGCCAAAATAAGTCTTCCATTTGTGTTGGTCTTAATTGTATAAAAGATATATTTTTGATTTTCGCTCTTTCCAAGTTGCAATAAGGGTTCGTTTGATAGGCAAATGTGAAAAAAAATTTAATTCCATGTTAGTTGGAAAATTAAAACCCACCAAACCCATAGAAATTCGTTTTCTATGAAAATAAAGAAAATGCAGCTTAAAGTGATTGTACATTGGAATTCGATTTTCATTTTCACGTTGCAATCAAACGGTTAAAGTGGAATTCATTTTCCTCGAATGTGATTTTTTTCATAAAATTCGTTACAATCAAACATGATCTAAAAGTATTTCCCAGTTCTTCTGTTTGTACATAAACCTTCACTTCTCCAATATATAATCAATTATCGCAGATGAGAACCGTTAATGATGCGGTTCATCCTTTTTTTATAATCAATTATCGTGCATTATGTAGTGCATAGTCGCATATATGTTACACACGCCGTCACTGCAACATATTCCTTGCTTTTCTTCGAATCCCAGCAATAAAATCCCAACCTATTACTGTTTCCCACCATAAACGCATTTCAATTCCTGTAAAGATAGCAGCTTTTTCACCTTTGCCGAGTATAAAAACCCCGATTTCTCGAATTTGATAGTAAGGAAATAAATCTCAGGTCGCCCTTTTGAATTCCAAGTATCTTTGCAACTTTTTTGTTGAATCAAGCCTTTTTTCACAGAGTAATTACTTGAACTCCTCTCCCAGTTGAGCTCCGAACTGTGAATTTCAGGGTTTTTCGAAAAACCATTTAAATTTAACCTAAAAACTCCAAAGATTGAATCCCGTCTCAATAAATCTCTGAAGACTGAATCTTAGTTTTGTCTATTTAGTTCTTGATTTCTCGAACCAGTGTTTCTGTATTTGAGCTTAAGGGCCATATGAAATAAAGTTTAATTATTTGAAAATTTTGGGGCATTAATATTTAGATTTAAGGTGTTTCTGTATATTAGAGAGCGGAAAAAGGAGGAAATATGGAAAAATACGAGCTTGTGAAAGATATAGGTTCCGGTAATTTTGGTGTGGCAAGGCTTATGAGGAACAAGGAGACCAAAGAGCTCGTGGCTATGAAATACATCGAAAGAGGACACAAGGTTTGTACTCTCTCTATGTTCTAACAGATCACTGATAGTGTTATCAATTTTCAGTTATTATAGAATATTGTGTTTTGTGAGCGTTGTGTGATGTGTGTGCGTGTGTGTGAAAAGCTTTTCTATATTTCATGTTTCTTTTATGTAGATGTGTATATGATTTATATGAGATTAATCTTGTTGAAGTTTGTGAATTGGTGCTTTACTTCTTAGTTTTTTGGTGTAGATCGATGAAAATGTAGCACGAGAGATCATAAACCACAGGTCACTTCGGCACCCAAATATAATTCGGTTTAAGGAGGTGAGAAACTTTTCCAAGCTATCTCCTATTCGTGGGATTATTAGGGAATGAAGTAAATTTATGGCTATAAACTTGTCCATGCTAATGATATGTTTGGAAGTTGGATTAGTTAGTACTTGATGGTATTAAATAAAAAAGGTAAAATTTTGTCCACTTTTCTCTCCAATACAATCTAATACTGCTCATCATACATGCGTTAATTGCCTGTAAAGGTTTCATTTCATTTACTCTTCTTGTTTATGGTGGCGGGCGTCTAATTTTCAGGTTGTTTTGACTCCCACCCATCTTGCCATTGTCATGGAGTATGCAGCTGGTGGTGAACTTTTTGAGAGAATCTGCAATGCTGGAAGATTCAGTGAAGATGAGGTATTAAAACACCCCCTCCACCCTTTCTCTTCGCTGTACTGCAGGAAAATGGGGACTCTAAAGAAACACAAATGTTGGCATTCCAAACGTTGTATTTTCTTATGATTAACGGTTTCCACTTCAAATTTTTAGTCCAGGTACTTCTTTCAGCAGCTTATATCTGGAGTTAACTACTGCCATTCCATGGTAAGTGAAGATTAGTAATTTATTAACCTGCACCTGCACCTGCACCGTACTTATACATCATTTATCTTGCATATGTTTGCATATTTTGCTACTATATTTCCTTGATTTCTCTTGATCTGCAGCAAATATGCCATAGAGATTTGAAGTTGGAGAATACCCTTCTGGATGGAAGTCCTGCTCCCCTGCTAAAAATCTGCGACTTTGGTTACTCAAAGGTATTACACTGTCATCTACAAAGTTTGTAATTGTTGATTATTTGAAATAACTCTCTGGCTTTGCCATTTCAAGCACATTGTAATTACTATGTTTGCATTTATATTCTTTAGTCATCTCTGCTGCACTCAAAACCCAAATCAACAGTTGGCACGCCAGCTTATATTGCTCCGGAAGTTTTATCTAGAAGAGAATATGATGGAAAGGTAAACACGCCGTGACATATTGGTACTGGTGTTACTCAATGTTTCTCAAATTTCCTTCCATATTCTTTTGTTTTAGTAATCTCGATTATGTTCTTTAGTTTATTGTGTCTACATATTTCCAATAATCATGAAATTAGATTTATATTACTTGGAAATTTAGACGTTTGCTTTTGATGAATTTATAAGAGTTCATTAACCTCTATATGGCAATTAGCTCAAGGTAAAAATACAACCTTCAGTAAACATTGATTTGGTGTATTCTCTCCCTCTAGGCACGCATTTGTGGCAGAAATATTGCTCTTCAGGGTTTGTTAACTTTCCTGTGTTTATCTTGTTATTCAGTTGGCTGACGTGTGGTCATGTGGAGTGACACTTTATGTGATGCTGGTTGGAGCATACCCTTTTGAAGACCAAGATGATCCAAAGAACTTTAGGAAAACTATTCAAGCAAGTTTCTTCATTTGATCTTTTTAAATTTTACGAGGCTCTAGTATTTTACATTCCCGAAGGACATGAAAAATTGTTCTGATTGTTGCTAACTCATCTTTTGATGTTCTTTTCCAGCGAATAATGGCCATTCAGTACAAGTTCCCTGACTATGTTCACATATCTCAAGATTGTAGGCACCTACTTTCCCGCATATTTGTTGCCAATCCAGCCAGGGTATGTCCACTATTAACGGCTATTAAGTTTGTTTGGAAACTGATTTCAGGCTTATTTGGGTGGGCACCTATTATTTTAAGCTAGGCTATATTTAGTATTTACTACTATTGTTACACCTAAAGAGTGATGGTAAATACCCCTTTGTATACCTTTTCTCGCTTACCTGTGACCACTCACTTATGTCATTGGTCCCCTTGTTCACAATGGGAATGAAAATTATTTTTACTGTCGTGAATTTTGTTGATAATATGCCATAGGAAAATGAATTTACCATTATTTCAAATCCTTGCTCAATGCCTTTGTACTTGTCTGTGGAAGGATAAAGTAACAGCAGAAGAAAGCTTCCAAGAAATTTTGGTTGAATCTGGATAATTATTTTATCTTGTCTTGTGATTGATAATTTTGCAATTTTAGTTTATGCTGGATTATTTCATATATGTTACTTATTATTATTATTGAATAAGTTAAAACTTCAATGCCCACTCCACCCCCCCACCCCCACCCCTCAAAAATAAAATAAAATAAATAATTTTATTTTTTTGCTGTCATAAACATAGTTGAGCGTAGGAATGCATCCATTTTCCATTCCTATTTCTCTATTTGATACATGTTTGGTGAGTTAGACTACTAGACAATTATTAAAGAAAAAAAAAAGTTAAAATCTTGTCCGTTGCAGTATCCCGTTTTATCTAAAACCACTTGCCAAACCTGTACTTGGTTTTGTTGTAGCGATAGAAAGCTATTCTGGATTTTGTATATTGGTTTCATATGCAAATGTATCACTATGGATGTTGTGTTGATGCAGAGAATTACAATCAACGAAATCAAGTCACACCCATGGTTTTTGAAAAATTTGCCAAGGGAACTGACTGATGCAGCTCAGGCCATGTATTATCGAAGAGGAAACCCTACCTATTCCCTTCAAAGTGTCGAGGAAATAATGAAAATCGTGGAAGAGGCCAAGACAACTCCTCAGGCCTCTCGTTCACTTGGAGGCTTTGGTTGGGGAGGGGAAGAAGATGAGGATAAAGATGAAGATGCAGAAGAGGAGGACGAAGAAGACGATGATGAGTATGAAAAACAAGTGAGAGCCGCACATGCAAGTGGAGAAGTGCGTCTCTCGTGAGGCCTCCTATCTACCTCTTAAGTCGAATTATATCTGAATTTTCATGGTAAATGAGTGAAAAGTGTGTAAATTTCAAGAGACTTGTGCTTTTGAATTAGTGGGTTAGTATGAAGTTTGAGCTTGTTTGTGTAGAAATGGTGTGATGGTATGAATTTGATCTTGTCGATGGATTTCGATGTAGATTTGAAAATTATGGTTACTCCAGTTTGTGTTGTTTTCCGGATTATCTTCTATTGGGATTTCTGGTTCGACTGTGAATTTTGATCCAACTCTTCGAGTATGCATGGATAGTTGGACGTGTGATTACTGCGTCCAGACTCGTGTTATTGTTGTGAACGTATAGACGTAATTTGACACGTGCGTTCAAAAAAATTGCGCTGTTTGGCAAATGTTTGGCTAAGCTTAAAAACGTCTGATTATGAGAAAAGTTTAAGGGAAGTGGAATATAGTTTGCTTATTCAGAGCATATTTAGCTAGTTGTAAAATAAGGCATTTACCTATTACAGAGATTGTGCGATTTGATTTTTTTTTTTATTCTCTGGGTCTTATGAGAAAAACACGTGATTCAGGAAATTTTTTGAAATAAATCTGCGTTTGTTGAAGGTGAAGTTTGGAAATAGAATAATTCATTTTGTCGTGTATTAATGCAATTTTAGATGCTATGTTTCAATTTTGATTCTACTATGAGTGAAAGAAGCGACAGTTATTTTAAGCTTCAAATATAATTTTAAAACTTACTTTTTTTAAATACTTCGTGACCACACATTTCTTAGGAATTACTGCTTATAAACCCTTGAAAGCTCAACCGAGCTAGCAAGGATGGATGGCTTTTAAAGTGGAGATGGATTTTCTATTTGATGATGTCAAAATTTGGTTCCAATAAGTCTTCTTGATCATACTTCTCCTAAGATGCAATTGGGATTATCTCAATGTGGGGAGTAGTAGGCTTGCCTCAATATTAGCACGGACAGAGGATTATGATCCATCTACTTTATACTATAGAAGTTGACTCGAACTAAAAGGGAATGTCCCGCTAGAACCTGAAGATGAATCATCGTCTCATCGATGAATGATTATAGATAGGACTGGGCCTGAAAACCACAGCCCGAAAAACCGACCCGACTCGAAATGGGTTGGGTCGGGTCGATTTAGGAATAATTGTGGGTCGTTTGGCCCAAAACCGACCCAACCCAATGAAACCCTATATTTAGTGAAATGCACTCTTGTTGGAGCCAGGATTTGATTCTGAAAACACCTCTTCAATCTCTTTTTTCGTCTTTCAAAATTCCGATAGCCCTAGTGGTGCGAGGGCGGACGAGGATGGAAGACTTGAAAATTGGAACTTGTAGGGGCGTCCCTTGATTGTGTGTGGCGGGGTAGTTTTCCTTCTTCTCGTCGAGGATAGGAGACTTGATGGCTTGAACTTTTGGGGGGTTCTCTTTTTTCTCTTGATCACCAGGGTTTGAAGAGTATAAGGTTGGAGATGTATCATCTTTTTTACTCTTTGCCATGATTACTCTTTATTTCTCCAAAATCAAGGCGTTTTGATCTTCATCTACATACCTTCCTGGCCTCGTGCTGCATTGAATCCTCTTTTACGACCAAAGTGTGGGTACAATGATATGATGTGAGAATGAAAATGATGATAAAAATCATGTGGAGAATCTGAAAACATAAGAGAATTTTCACAACTTTTTGGCCTATAAATCTATCTGCTTCTACTGCTTAAAATGTAATACGAGATTGGGCTTTGGATGGTGAGAATAGTATAGCAGTATAGAAGCTTCTGTTTTTGTCCTCTTCTCTCTTTCATTAATTCTCAGTTATTGTTAATATTGTGGAGTTTTGGAATCAGACCCGAACCGACCTCGGTTCGGTTTAGAATAGGAGCCGTGTCGGGTCGGTTTGTAAAGAGACCAAAACCGAGTATCTCAAGTCGGGTCATTTTTGGGCCAAACCTGACCGGACCCATTGTCCATCCCTAATTATAGATGATATTATGCTGGATGGAACCACATTTTAGGGTACCAAACCTATTCTCTTATAAAAAGGGTTCGTGATTAAGATGTCACGCGCTCCAATTTTGAGTGACACCTACAAAATAGACAACCTGGAGGGAATTCCTCACAAGAGGAATCATTCACAATCAAAGAGGTCGAGAGTAAGCGTAAGCTCTTCGAGCTTCCCTTCATTCGCTTTGCGGGACCCTCACAACATATAGCTTCCTAAGAGTCAATCACGCAATTAGAGATATGAACAATTTGATTGTTTTTATCGAGTTAGCAAATCTAAGGTCATTCTTTCTATGATTACGCCTCTTTTTCTGTTGCCCTTAGGTTTCGTAAAGATATAAGCTTTCTTAGCCTGGGTTCTCTTAGAGAATTTCCAAGAGACTCTTTAAACATGATAATACTCTCGATTTTAAATAGTCAACATTTAAAATCATATTTCAAGAGTCTTTAAATTAATATTTTAATTTAGAGAGTGAGTTTGACTCTCCAAATTTGGAGAGTCGAACTCACTCTCTATAATTAAATGCATTCAAAGTGTTTCAATTTTCAATGTAGGAAAAAATAAAATAATCTAAAGAAAAACTAGTTAAAATAAAAGATAAAGAAAAATAATAAATATTTTTTGGAAGTAGTAAATTTAGAGTGTGTTTGGTAGGGATTTTTGAAGGAAGAATTGATTTTTGAATAGTGATATGATGGGAAATGCGTAGTTGAAAAAGAAGAAGAAAATATTGATGTGATGGAAAATATTATTTTATTGAAAAATGTGTGGTTGAAAATGAGAATTGATTTACTGTAGAAAATGAGAATCTGTACCAAACAGGCCCTTAAGTGTTAAATATAAAGAGTTTGTTGGAGTACTTTAAAATTTTAACTTTCTAAATTTATAGATGCTCTCCAAATGATAGAATATACTCTTTAAAAATAGAGTCTCTTGAAAATGCTATTAGTCATTTTAGCCATATGATATTATTCTTCTTCTATTAGCTAAGTATCTAAATTGAGTATCATATCACATGATATGATTTAGTACCCATAATTATCTAAATTCCGAAAGAAGTGTAAAGTGGAATCTAAACACAAATTCTTTGATCCCTAGCTAAGTCATTGATAGCTTCGACAAAATTTCAATCATCTAATTCCCCTGATGACTTGTTTTCTTCCATAAGGATTTCATAAGAAAATGGATAGTCTTAAATGACTAGTTTACCCTTTGGTGATAATTTATAGCAGGCTTGTGGATTAATAAATAGAGGACATAAGGAGACTAATTATGATGTGTGAGAGAGAGAGAGAGAGAGTTATCGATATTACAAGATACGCATACATAACACGTGTTGATCATGATATTTCCTATTTACTCATGACTGTTCTGAATGGTCAATGGATGAATATAAGAAATGAGAAACATACACGTCGATTTTGTCCCCACCTTATTAGGTTTTAGGCCAAACAAACTTCAAAGGGTAATAATGAAAAATCGCGGCCTCATAAAATACATCATAGGTCTCGTCCCATGATTGAACACTTCGATTTGTTGTAGTAAAAAAATCAAATATTTAGTAGAGTTTGATTATTAATAAAAATTGTGAATTTCATGAAATATGTAATTAAAATTAATTGTAATTTTGACTTGAATTTTTATTAAATTCATGCCACACCGAATAGTAGGTGTGGGCGCGGGTTGGTTTGATTCGATTTTGTTCGGTTCTAGAAATTTTCTGGTATTCAGTAAATGGAATCGTCGATTCCAATTATAATTTTGGAACCGTTCGGGTTCGGTTCGATTCGATTCTGTTCGGTTCCGTACTATAATTAAATTTTTTAACATTTAAAATAATACTACATAAATACACCTAAAAGTAGATACTAATATTAATAACAAAAAGTAGATATAAATACTAAGTTCAATCTTAACTTTTACAAATTAACGTAATCTAATTTAATAACATGTAAATAATAAGTTGTCAAATACAAATACGAAAAAGTAAATATTACTAATAAAACTTCGATAATTCATATCAATAATTCATTTGCTTCAAACATTCAAGTCTACATAAAAATGAAATATAAATTAGAAGTAATAAAGATAAAATATTTTAAAGTATTGATAATACTTACCAACTATTTAATGTAATAATCAGTTGCTTGACTTTCCATACTAACTATTAAGAAACTATACAAGAAAAAATTGAAAAAAAACAACTAACAAACATAAATAAACTCTAAATTGTTCAACTAATAAGATTTAATAAGAAAAAAATTATTAATTTGTTTAGAAAAAATAAAAGAAATTGATTTATCCAATATAAAAAAAAAAATCGGTTCTTATTCGATTCTTCGGTTCTGGGTCTAGAACCGAGAACCGAACCAAACCATTCGGTTCTCGATTCGGATACCCGTTCGAGTATTTCATTTAAAAAAACCCGCTCAATTCGGTTCGGTTCTATTCGGTTTGGACATTTTGTCCAACCCTACCGAACAGGGTCTAAATAAAAAATGCAACTCCACTAGTGATGGTCTAAATACAACCAACCAAGTCTATGGGTTGAGTCTAAGTAAGATTGACAAAGTTCAAAATAAAACACTTTTAAGCGTGTGCTGTTGTGTTGTTAGAGCCAGTTCTAGATAGAGACAAGTGAGGCCCATGCCTCAGGCCGAAAAATTATTTTTTTAATACATCATTCCTATCCGTCTTCCTCTGTGCCAGTGCATGCGAGAAGAACTAGAAAGGTGAAACCCATCCTTGACGACGACATCTTCTGTCTTCTCTCTTTTTTCTCAGTCTCCGCTGCCATCGTGCCACGCCATTGCCTACCTTTCAGTAAAAAATCTGATTTCTATGTATTCCTTCTCTTTTGTATCAAACAATTGCTCAGATTAAGTGGATTGAATACGGCTATTTTATTGAAATTTATCTTTATTATTGTTGATAAGATGAAGTTTCTAAGTACTGCCATACTGGTTATATTGACTTTTGTAAGATTTAATCGTAGGATCAATTGCACAGACTCACGTAGTCATATACTATGGTGCCTCCTAAATATAAGTCTGGAGCTCAAAAAAGAAAAAAGGAAACGAAATGACTTGACATTAATTCAAAGCCAAGCATGAGATATTGACAAGTATTTCAATAGAAATAATGTGCATGAATTTACTAAGAATGAAGAAGTGATCCAACCTGTTAGTGTAAATGAGATAGATAAGAAGGAAGGAGATGATGTTCATTGTAAAAATATAAATCAAGAGAGTATATTTTCTTTGAATTTGGACGATCTTGAAAATTGGAAAAATATTGATGAAAAATGAGGGATTATTTAGTTGAAATTGGTCCAAAAAGAGTCGATGACATCTTCTTTCCAATAGACATTTCGATTCTTCACTATATAAACGATTAATACTAAATGAGTAGACAAATGATAAGAGTATGACCAGTGTATTCAGTATCTATGAACATGATCTTTTGCTCTTGCTGCAAATTGTTTAAAAAACCAAAAGCTCCGACTAAAATTGGGCAACTGAATAATGATACATACAAAGATTCGCATAATTTGAACCGGTCTATCAAAAGTCAATAATGAAATGAAGAGTATTTACGTTGTATGACTAGTTGGATTGAATTGGAAAACAGGTTTCAAACAAAAAATATAAATGACAAAAGTGTCCAATTAGTGATCAATATAGAAATAGAACATTGAAGACAAATGTTAACAAGGATAATCGCTATTGTGAAAAGACTCACCAAAAGCACCTTAGCATTTCAAGGAGTTGTATTCTTTGGAGCGAACCAACAAATTTGTACATTGTTTTCTTCTTCTTTTTATAATTGATAAAGCTCTATCTTCTCTAAAGACTATATTTGAACAATTTAAACAATATGAAGAGGCATTTGGATTTTTATTTTATGTGGAGAGGTTCGGCGTGCAACTTTTCCCAATTTGTTGAAATATTGTACGAATCTTGAGAAATATTTGGAACATTAATGGAGATGATTTATATGCAGAGTTACTAGTTTTTAAGTGTTATATACCAAATGAAGCAATGTGAGCAATTAAAATGCTACAATATTTGAAGACACTGAATAGTTATTTCTCAAATACTTATATTGCTTACAAAATTTTGCTAACCATGCCGGTTATACTTGCATCTGCAGAAAGAAGTTTCTCCAAATTGAAGTTGATCAAGACTTATTTGCGATCAACTATGTCACAAGAAAGATCGAATTGAATGGCTATGTTATCAATTGAGAAAGAAATAGTTGAATAGTTGGATTATTTAAATTTGATTAATATTTTTGCCTCTAAAATCGCAAGACGAATGGTATTTAATTGATCGTTTAGAACATTGTCTGCATTGTTATTTGATTATAATAATAATTTTTAGTATGACCTTATTTGAGTCTAATTTTTGGTGTAAAATACATTTTGAAATAATAAATTGATGGAAAATGTGTGATTAAATAATAAGAAAAAGTTTTGGGATTACGTGTAATATTATTTTATTAAAGAATGTGTGGTTGGAAAGAAAAGAGAAAAAATGTATTTTGAAAATAATGGGAATTAGACAAAGGCTAAAATACCTTTTTTTTTTTTTTTTTTTTACAGTTAAATTTTAAGTTAACAAGTTAACAATTGGTACCATAATACACATATTTTTTTGCATGCATAATACAATTTTGGGGGACCTAATTTATGAAGTTCGTCTCGGGCCCCCAAAATCACAGAACCGACAGTGTGTTGTGTGTAGGGTTAGGGATATGGGTAGGAGTAAGAGTGGGTGTGGATTGGGTCGATTTCTTACTCAACCCAAACCCAATCCAACATTATCGGTTTGACATATTTTTATATGTTGAATTTTATCGGTGTTTAACAGAAAAATATGTCGTTTTTAAGTGTTTAACAGGTTTCTCAATGTAGTTTTTTTTGCGTATTAACGTGTTTTTATATGCAATTTTTTGGTCTTTTACAGATTTTTATTAGGAAACAATACATATTTAATGTGTTCAAAAGATATAATTTCAAAATTAAGAAATTTGTTTCAAAGTTTTAAAAATCAAATCATAATTAAATTTTATTTAATTGATTAATTAATTAAAAAATTAATTTATTAAATATATCAAGGTCACAATATTACACAATTTATGGTCATAGTTGCATACTAGTCATAATCATAAAACACCACTCACAAATTACAAAATTTTAAGTTACAACTCATTTATCAATTACAAACTATCAAATTAATTGGTCAGTATTATTTCTTGAATGCAAATCCTAAATTTTATAAATCACAAATTATCAAATCAATAAGCCACGTATTATTTATCGGTCACAAATCACAAATTTCAAATTTTATATGTCACAACTTATTTCACGATCACAGATTATCAAATTAATTCATCACAACTTTTGCGATTACAAATTTTAGTTGCAATCACATATTTTTTTAAGCCATATTATTTATTGGTCACAAATTATTTATTTTATCATCGACACCAACCAAACGTCTCGCCACATCACCACTACTACTAGCACCACCACCACCACCATTTATGACCACCGCCATTTGTACCACCACCTATACAACTATCGCTACCACCATCGCCAGTAGCATCAGCACCACCTCACCATTACCATTACCATTACCACCTTCCTCATCACCACCATTTGCAACCCACCACCAATTACTAACAAAAACCTCCCAAAACGTTAACTAAGCAACAAATCAGAGGAGTAAGAAACCATCCCCAAAACTTCATCGCCGTTGCAACGACATCGTGAATGGGCAAAGTGCCGCGAGTAACGGTGTGTACGCCATTGTACAACAAGAAGTTATCACTGCATGATGTGCTCACATTACCGCGCCAACGGTGGCATTCCATTGGTGGTGTATGATAAAGAGAGAGAAGATCAAGGATAGAGAGAGAAATGAGTAAGGTTTGGAAAGTGAAATGTGGTGGGGTGGGTCTGTAGATTAATTTTATTATATAATATTATTAATATTTAAAAAATGAACTATAAACTGATTTAAAAAAAAAAACTTTTAAACCAGATTTTTGAATTGAAAAGTTAGAAAAAAAATGCGTGAGAGTAATTTTTACTTTTTATTGTCAGTTTTTTATTGTGGAAATTACACAAAATTAGAATTTTCAAAATTCAACTTCAAATTTTAGATACAAAGTTCCACTTTTCAAAAATCAGATATTTCATCTCAAACCCTAATAAATTTCATTCCAATCCAATTTTTTTCCTCCTCCTCCTCCTCCTCCCCCTCTCTCTCTCTCTCTCTCTCTCTCTCTCTCTCTCTCTCTCTCTCTCTCTCTCTCTCTCGGTCTGCTCTCTTCTCTTCTCACTCTCTCTTGGTGTAGTAAGGTGGGTCTCCACCGATCTTGCCTAGGAGAACGCTGGGGCGACGTCGGCGATTGGGCTAGGCTAGGGCCTAAGTTAATATTGGTAACGTTGGTAGTCAAGGTTGTGTTAGTGGTTGTAGGATGTTCGATTGGTGGTGGGTTTGGAAATGTCACCGTCTTGGTGGATCAGAGGAATTTAGGCCGTCTGGTGTCGGTATCTCCGTCGCCATACGGGGAGTGAGTGCCACTGTTGTTTGTCAGGTTGAGATAAAAGGGAAATGGGAGAATCAGACTTAAAGGTTGGGTTTTACAGTGGGCTTATATGTTCCAACTTTGTGTTGGCGGTGGCGATCTCCGTCTCCTCTCCTCACTCTCTCTTCTCTACCGTCTTTTCTCTTCTCACTCTCACTTTCTCTTCACCGGTGAAAGCGGCATCTGGCGGAGAATTGAGTGCCATCGTGCAAAGCGCCAGATCGCCGCTGCAGCATGGATTGAGGTAATGAATTTGAGGAGACGGTGGTGGTGGTGGTGGTGGTACATGCGGCATTGGTGGTTGTGCTACTGTTGGTGAAGGTGGTGGTTACAAATTGTTTTGTTGATTTGTTTGAGGTGGTGGTTCTGGTGGCGACGATGGGAGTGGTGTTGCTAGAGGAAGTGGTGAGGTGGTGGTCACAGATTATTTGGTCGTTTATCTGTAACAAATAAACAATATGTGATCAATGAAAAAGATAAATTGTGACGAAAAACGCGTGACCTAAAAAGTTGTTAATTTTGACCGATAATTTCACCATTTGTGACGGTCTACTAAGTTGTAACTTATAATATTTGTGTTTTGTGACCGATGAATAAATTGTGACGTATAATTTTTTTCTATTTGTGACCGATGAACGAATTGTGATTTATAAAATTTCTGATTTGTGACCGTTGAACAAATTGTGACATATACAATTTTTGAATTGTGACCTTAAAATAATTTGTGACGTTTCAATTTTTTATTTGTGATCGACGAACAAATTGTGACATATAAATTTTTTGAATTATGACCGTAAAACAATTAGTGACATGTAAAATTTGTGATTTGTGACTAATTATATAGAATTTGTGACCAAATTATTTGAAATTGTGACCTTAATATATTTAATTAATAAAATATATGCTTAATTAATTAATTTAAAAATAAAATTTAAAAAAATCTGAAATTTTAAATTTGAAATTTAAGTTCTTAAATTTGAAATAAATGGGTGAAACTAAACCTCTTAATTATGAATTTTTCCCATTTTTATTTTTTCAACGGTTTTTACAAAAAATGGGCCTCCAAACTTGGTTGGGTTTCATACCATGAGCGGGTCGGATTTGGGTTGAGCAAAAAAATCGATCCAACCCAACCACGCCAACTCATAGTTATGTGTGATACCAGCTTTTATAAGTCACCTTCTTTCCTTCCAGAGTTATTTAGTGCCAAAAAGTTCAGCTTTCTCTCGTTTCATTTCCATGGCGGCTCAACCAAGAGGTGGTAGGGGTCGGGGAAGGGGCAGACCTGTAATTTTGGCGATATACACTGTTTGTATGCGAAACCATGCAGCACCACTTGGAGGTTATGCGGTTGACGGCTGCGGAGAATTTACACCAACCGGAAGCGCTGGAACTCCCGAGGAACTTATGTGTGCCGCATGTAATTGCCATCGGAACTTCCACCAAAGGGTTTTGATGGAGATTCCACCACCACCACCCCGCCGAGCACCCAGAGCCGCTCGTCGTGCCAATCCAGCAGCGGATTTACCTCCACCACCGCAGTCGGCTGTTGAAATGAATTATCCTCTTCCGAGTCCACCATTGAGTGAATCAAACTCCGACAGTTGAATGATAAATGCTGTTGTTGGTGAGAATTTCAGATTAAGATCTGAAAAGAAGAATAATAAATGTTCCGCTAGGGTTTATTGTTATGTCGAGAAGGAATATATGTCCAATATAATTTCGTACTTTTGCTTAGTTCTTCGATCATGGCGTTTATCAGATCTCTTTCTCTATATACACATACATTATCCAAACCTTTCGATTAGGCATATACATTTGTTCCTGAAAATTTTATCTGAAAAATTAAAGAGCAAATTAAATTGATAATCAAAATCAAAATTCCTTTTTTCTTTCAGATATGGAATTTAATCGTCTGGTCGCGATGAAGAGATTTGTGAATTCGACACGAGGCCCTGAATCTCATTAACACCCGTGATATTACGTAAATTACTCTATCCAAAAAAGTTAAATTTAGAGCTTGTTTGCGAGGGATTAAAATTGAAAATATAGCCGTTATTGTTGACTTTTATTAAACGGGTGGGACCCAATAACGGTTATATTTTCAATTTTAATTGGATTAAAATCACTCCCAAACAAGCTCTTATAATAATTATTAGAATAATTATCAATGAGTATATAATCCAAACATTTAATAAAAGTTCGATTAATTCGTATTTTGTACTAACCACATATGATTTTCATAATTCGACCAGCACGCGGGTATCTGCTAGTAATTAATGTAAATTTTTCTGTATAATTTAGATTATTGAATTCTTGTTAAGTTTACCTTACAAATAAATAAAATCCTTTGGTACCTCATATTGTTACCTTTCATTAATAATTGGAGATCTAACTGTTGATACGGTATCAAGATAATTTGGCTGACAACGTGTCACTTGTCGCGTAAATTTCCTTTTCTCGACCATCGTCAGCAACTATTCGACAAATGTCGCCAAGTATTTGTCGCTTGTGCTAAAGTGCTGACTTTGGTTCCGACAAATGCTATTGATGACATCACGTGCATGATTACTACCGACGCTTTATGGTGGACCCTCACTTCTTTCGAAAGTCGATGTATATTTGCCTTGCGATTACAAGGAAGAATGGACTCGAATTTTGGTGAAATATTATCTCTTGCAAGCATATTTATTATCGAATTGTCTTATATACTACCACAACAATAATAAGACTATGTTTGATTTAGATATATTTAATAAAAGTTGACGAAATGTGTCGTTGAAAAGTTTTGGGTCTTATGAAATATATGGTTAAAATTATTTGTTAATATTGACTTATTCAATTAATTCTGGTTGACATCCCAAGGAAAAAAAAAAGCAAATATCATTTTGTGTATTCAGTTGTGTGCGTTACCGACTTCTTTAAATTACCTTGTCTCCTTCTCATCTACTTAACTTTCACTTTTACTAGAATTCAGCTTTAGTGCATTTCCATGGCGGCCAACCAAAGAGTAGGTAGGGGTAGATCCATAATTCTGGTAATTTACATGGCGTATTTGCATAACCATGCAGCACCACTTGGCTGCTTTACAGTTGACGGCTGTGGGGAATTTACACCAACTGGAGCCGATGGAACACCCGAGTCATTCCAATGTGTTGCCTGTAACTGCCACAGGAATTTCCACCAGAAGGTCGAGATGGACATTCCCCCACCCCGCTGCCGTCGACCACCCAGAGTACGACAGGACACCAATCTAGCTGCTGCTGCAGCTCCTCCTCCTCCATCAACGCCGCCTCAGCCAGTTGTTACATTGAATTATCCGCCTGCGAGTCCACCGTTAACTGATATAAGCTCCGAAGATCGAGTTTAATGTAGGAAGCCTTACAACAAAAATGGCATGATTTTTAAATGTTCTTTCTGGTCAGAATTAGGGTTTTCTTATAGGTAAATTTGCATTTTATTCTCAACCTTTACAAATTGTTATAATTTATCCCCAATCTTTTTTTAGCATCAGACATTTCAATCTTTTACTTAGGGTCTGTTCGGTACAGCTTAAAATCCAATTAAAATTGAAAATATGACCGTTATTGGGTCCCACTCGTCTAATAAAAGTCAACAATAACGGCTCGTTTTTCAATTTTAATTCAATTTTAAGTTGTACCGAACATGCCCTAAATTGCAAATCAAGTCTTTTCATCCATTAAATCCGCATAAAATGACGATTATCCTCATATTTAAATAAACAAAAAAATGACAAAGCAATTATGCCCTCATTTGGAGTAGACAGAAATCAGATTTTTAGTAAATTTTGATAAAAAATGATTAAATATATGATTGAAAAGTTGTAAATCTATTGAAATATATAACTATAATTAATTGTTGACTTTAATTTATATTAAAATCTTGATTTTAATCCCTACTAAGTATGGGTTAAATGAAAATATAAAAGAAAGTTATAGCAAGAGTCCTATATCTTTTTAGAATAAACAAATAAATTACAAAACGATTAAAAACAATTGACGAAAAATTTAGGGAAAATAGAAAAAAGGAAAAAGAAAAGTGTTTTTCTTCCCCAACCACTTACAAACCACTTTCATTAATTAATGAATAATACTATTTATTATTACTGAGATTATAACCTTAGTTTATATGAAGTAAATATGACATTAAGCCCTTATTTGACATCCATTTTAAAGAAGAATTTGATTTGGAATCGTGATTGATGGAATAATATGTGGTTAAAAAGTAAGTTAAATTTTAGGTTTATGTGTAATATTATTTTATTAATAAAATGTGTGGTTAAAATGAGGAAATAGAAAAAAATGAGAATGAGAAAAAATGGATGTCAAACAATGGTTAAATGATAAGTAAAATTTAATAGATTATTAATTTCACCTTTTATTTAACCTATCAACTAACTTCACATAAATTGAAGTTATAACCCCACGTTGAATATCATTATTCTTAATTAATATTTGCATTAATTAATTGACAATGATTTAGGTAGCTTTTATGCTTGGAAAGAGTGATGGAACTAGAACCCTTTTCATTAATTGACTAAGGGAGCGTTTGATTGTAAGAGTGGAAAATGGGTGGAAAGAAAATATTTTACATGGAAAAGATTTGCTTGAAAAATGTTTTGCAGGGAAAATGATTTCAAGTGTGTTTGATTGGTATAAATTTTCACCCGAAATTTTTTTAAATTTTCTATTCGTTTGGCTTTGTTTTATATGGAATGTGTTTGTTAAAGTGATAATTTTTTCCACAATTGGTTATAAAATTTGTTTCGATTGCCAAAAAGTAAAAAAAAAAAAAGAAGGAAAAAAAATTATTTTCTAAAAAATTATTTTTTAATCAAAATTTAGTGTTCGTTTGACTTAATTTTACATGAAAATTATCTATTAAAGTGAAAAAAAAAATTTACCATTGGTTATAACATTTGTTTTCATTGCTAAAAAAAAAGAAGATTTTTTTTTCAGCAAGCCCGGAAAATTTTTTTCCCACCATTTAAATTTCATCAAAAAGCTGGAAAATGCACACGTGTGGAGGAAAGAAGGAAATATTTTCCGTAAAAAATTTCGCCTATTAAACAGCCAAAAAAGTGGAAAGTGGAAAATATTTTCCTAGTTCTCTAAAAAATTTGGCGTATCAAACAGAGCCTTAGAGCATTTTCAAGACTTTAAACATGATAGATTCTCTATTTTAAAGAGTTAACATTTAAAATTATGTTTAAAGAGACTTTTTAAATTAACATTTTAATTTAGAGAGTGAGTTTAACTTTCCAAATGCATTCAAAATATTTCAATTTTCAATATAGGAAAATAACAAAATAATCTAAATAAAAGTTAGTTAAAATAAAAGATAAAGAAAAATAATAAATATTTTTTGGAAGTAGTAAATTTAAGTGTTAAATATAAAGAGCTTGTTGGAATACTTCAAAATTTTAACACTAAATTTATAGACGTTCTCCAAGTGATAGTATATGGTCTTTAAAAATAGACAGTCTATTGAAGATGCTCTTAATAGCGAGTTCGTGATTACTTAGGTCCGATTTAGGCACCATTTTTTTTTTAAATGTAATTTTATAAAATTCGTTTTTAACTACATATTTTTTCATAATATCATGTTATACGTATATTCAAATTTTTTAACCACACGTAGTCCAAATCATCATTATTCTAAAATGAATAATGCCATGCATACATTTTGCATGATACCATGGTTGACATAATGACATTCCTCCCTATGTGGAGGATACTTGTGTAATGATGTGATTGGTGAGTTTAAAATGAAGAGTATAGATATTGCCACATGGAAGAGTGTAAATGTAACACAGTTGATTCTAAAATATATTTTCCCCAAAATCTCATTTTATTTTAATGGAACTTGAACAGAACTAAGGGCTTGTCTGAGCCCCATATTTTGGTGTATAATGTAATTTGGAATAATAGACTGATGGAGAATGTATGGTTAAAAATTAAGGAAATTTTTTCGGATTGCATATAGTATTATTTTATTGAAAAATACGTGATTAAAAAAAATATTTAAAAAAAAAAGGAAAATAGACAAGACTGAATCCCCTTTCATTAGTTAGAGTGTGTTTGAGAAAAAATTTTGTGGGATTTTAATCAAAATTATAGCCGTTAAAGTCAACCCGTGGACTCCACCTGTGAAAGGGAAGGTTAAAAATGGTGGCTGATTTGATAGTTAACGGCTAAAGTTTTTATTAAAATCCTGATTAAAATTTCTCCCAAACGGGGCCTTAATTTCTCAAGGTCAAATCCATCAAGGCCAAAAAAGGCTACTACACAAAAAAAGAAAAGCTAATACAATCATTTGAGTGTATTTGATGGATATTACTGAGAGATGAATATATTTTATATAGTGATATGATGAGAAATATGCTGTTAAAAAGTAATGAAAAGTTATTGATGTGATGAAAAATATTATTTTATTGAAAAATGTATGGTTAAAAATAAGTTTTTAAAGAATATATTTTGAAATAATATGTACCAAACAAGGACTTAATGATGAAATTGGAGAAAATGTCTCCTAATCATCAAATTGTTTTTCTTGTCTAACTAGCCCATATCGATCGGTCCGGACTAATTTTGATAACATTGATAAGTATATCGTCATGACTATATTTTATTCGACGCATTAATTTACAAATACACCTTAATTGAATTAAGGAGATATTTCAGAAGGTCTAGTTGAAACAATTTTATTGATTATGAGTAAGGTAATTGGTAACATTCAATGTAAAAACATTTAATTTGATATTTGTAAATTAATTTAAACAAGTTAGTACATTTTAATTTAAGAAAATTACATGAAACCATGTTTTTAAGTTTTAATTTCATTAATCGGGTCGTAACTTTTTTTTAGAAAAATAAAAGTAAAATTAGGTAGTATGTAACTTGTGAACTGATTCCGATAAATGATTGTGTACGTAATACGTCTCGGGACTAAGGTTCTGCTAACGAAAAGTTCACCAGTGGCCTGTTTGGGCCAGATTAAAATTAGATTTTAATCAAAGTCAAATAATCAATATTAACCACATATTTCATGAATCCCACATTTTTTCAGCCACACATTTCAAAAATTTATATCATAATTCACTAAAAATCTAATTTTAATCCCCATCAAACATCCTCTAAACATCACCCGATTTCTAAATTTTTTATAAATATTTTAATTTTGAAATTGTATTCTTAAAATTATTGTAGTAATGAATTTTTTAATTAGCCCCTGTTTGATTTAGCTGAAAAAGGTTGATTAAAATTTAAATAAAAATTGATAATTAATTTTAACCGATTCAGAACTTTTCAATTATACAGGTTTTTTTTGGAAAAATTACGTAAGTCCAGGTGTTTAAAGATTGTTTTTTAAAACTCAAATCTAAAATGTATTTATTTAAAATCAGACACTATATTAAAAACCTAATTAATAACCCTAATTTATCACTCTATATTCCCTCCCCACTCTCTCGCTCCTCGCCTCCTCTTCCCCTTCAAACCCCGGCAACCGGCGATAGAGCTGCTTCGGCTGACACCACACCACAAACCCCTTCGTCGCTGGCACTGCAAGTTGAGTAGGAGAAGAGAAAGGGTGATGGTGCTGGTGTGAGGCAGATGCGATGGGAACATTTTTTTCTTAGTTTAATTTCTTCGCACAGATCTGTCGAGTTGTAATTTGTGGTGGTCGATGGTGGAGGTTTTGGTATGGTTCGCAATCGTTGCTGTGACATCAACAATGGTGAGGTGCGGTACGGTACGGTGGTGAGGTGGTGTTGTGACGGGGCGACGATGTTGGTGGTGCTGTGTAGGCGACGATGGTGGTGGTTTGGGTGGTGGTGTGTTGTTGGTGTTATTGTTGGTGTTGGTGTTGGTGGTGGTTGTTACGGTGGTGGCAGGGATGGGACAAAGAGTGTATGTGACCAACTATTTGGTCGATTTGTGACCAAATAGTGGTGGTGGATTGAGATCGATTTGTGACCAAATAGTGTTTGTGACCAACTATTTGGGTGTATGTGACCAACTATTTTGTTCTTTGTGACTAACTATTAAATCGTGACATTAAAATTCGATAATCTGTGACTAAAAATATAATCTGTGACCAATAAATTTGGAAATATGTGATCGATAGATAAATTGTGATCTATAATTTTTTAAATTTGTAACCAAATAAAAATGTATGACCTTTAAATTTTTTGATCCGTGACCAATGGTGTAAACCGTGACCTATTAAACTTAAATAATAATTATTTTTAATTAATTAACTAAATACCTGAGTTTTGTATTTTTTAAATTTGAAACCTGATTTTTGCATTGGTGAAACTTAAAACCTGATTTGTGAACTCTTCCTTTT